TATGATGCACTGAGCTCCTCTCTCCTCTTCTTTCTCTCGCTCTGTATGCAACCTCATCCCATTAATGCATGTTACTAACTCAACTTATTCCCTTTCTGGTAGTCTTGTGCTTTCTCGTCCCTCTCCTCTCTCCTCCTATCAGTTCCTGCAGGTGTTTCTGGCTCTGGAGCTGTGGAGTCTGGATCTGTGGTTGCGAGTCACCTGCTGCCCCTGTGTTCCTGCTCGACACCCTCTGTTACAATTATTGTTACTAGTCCTATTGTTATTATTGTAATTATAATCATTAACATTACGATTATTATCATTAACACTACTGTAAATATCTGTATCATTATTCATTCAGTCTATAGCAACATTACCTTTACTTATTAGTATATTGTGTAGCATGCCTCCCTCCCCTCTCCCTCTCTGTCTCTCTCTCAATTCAAATTAGCTTTATTGGCATGAATGTAACAATATTGCCAAAGCATCATACAAACTACATAAGAACAATCAACCCCATACATTTCATTAAACAATTAAAGCATAAAGTAATTAAATCGTGAGTGTGTGTGTGTGTATGTTAAAAAATATATATATTAAAAATTTAAATAAAATAAATAAAACAATAAGCGTGTGTGAGTAAAATAAAATAAAAAAATAAAAAATTTAAATAAAATAAATAAATAAAACAGTAACGTGTGTGTGTATTAATAGAAAAAAAATAATTAATTGATTATAAAATACTAATAATAAATTTAAAAAAAGAAATCAGTATCAAATGTAAAAACAAAACAATTACTAAAATATCAAACGATCAAAATAATAATTTGAAAATTTTATTTACAATTATTTATCAGTTTGAGGTTTCAGTGTTTATCCTCACTTCATGGCATGAGGAGACATATTTTGCAGCAATTATTTCACATTTGGGCATTTCTCCCAGTAAATAGGGGAGTTTCTGTGTGTCTGATATGAATTCGAATTCAGGGTATATTTGGGAAATGTTTGCAAAGTGTTAGAAAGTGCAGCTCTGTCTCTACCTGTCCCCTGTCACACTGGGACCAGAGTCTCTCCTCTTGTGGTAGCCAGCTCTGTCTGTGGCGACCCTTTTCTATGGCCAGGCTGTGTTCACTCAGTCTGTATGTTGTCAACATTTTTCTTAGTTTTGGACATTTTATTGTACTCAGATAATTTGCCAGTGTGAATTCTATTTTTAGGGTCAGATAACATTGTAATTTACTTTGTGTTTTGGTTGTTTCTTTTCAGTATTCAATGTATTTTTCTTTCTGCTTGTTGGTAATTTGGTTTGGTCTGCTTGAGTTGGTGCTGCTGTCCTGAGGCTGTTGGGGACTTGTTATGGCAGAGAGCCTCAGGACCAGCTGGCTGAGGGGACTCTCTCTGGTTTCAGCTCCTGGTATGTTAGGGCTTTGTGATGATATGTCTGGGGGTTAACTGATTTTAAGTGATTGTAAAATTTAAGTGATCTTTTCTGTATTTTTAGTAGGAGGGGGTATTGGCCGAGCTCTGCTCTGCACAGGTTATTTGGTGTTTTTCTCTGCACCTGCAGGGTGTTCTTACAGAACTCAGTATGGAAAGATTCTGTGATTGTTTTGTCCCATTGTCAAATTCATTATTAAGTTTTGGCCCCCAAATGTTGCTACCATATAGAATTATTGGTTCTAGAGGTGCATGCAGCCCTCAATGGGATGGATGGAGGGAAAGTCCCGGGTATTGATGGTCTTGCTGTTGATGACCTTCTGGAAAGATCTTGGTCAAGATCTTTTGGATGTTTTCAATGAAATTTTTGAAAATCAGACCCTGCCTCTGAGCTGCAGGAGAGCTGTGATAACCCTGCTGCCGAAGAAAGCAGCCCAGGACGTCAGACCGGACTATAAGATCTTGTCCAAGGCTCTGGCTAAACGGTTGAAGCAAGTGATGGAGGAAATCGTTCACCAGGATCAGTCGTACTGTGTGCCTGGTAGGTCCATAACAGACAACGTGTCTTTAATCAGGGATGTTTTGGATGTCTCTAGTTTTTTGGGCACTGACCTTGGTCTCATTTTTTTAGACCAAGAAAAAGCAGGGTTGAGCACCTTTAACTTTGGAAAGTTCTGGAGCGTTTTAGTCACAGCCCACGTCTCATTGCTATGATAAAAGTTTTGTACTGAGACATTCACAGTGTACTGAAGGTTAACGGGGTCTAAGTGCTTCCTTTACAGTAGGCAGGGGTGTCAGCCAGGTCTGTCCTCTGTCTGGAATGCTGTATGCATTGTCCATTGAGCCCTAGCTACACAAAATCTGGTCCTGTATTCATGGTTTGGTTTTACCAGGTTTTAACACACCTGTTATGAAGATTCTCAGTCATCCAGGTCATAGTTATCCAACGAAGGTTAAAATGAAGGGCAACTGGACTTGGTTGAAGCTACTGGTAGCCAGTAGCTTCAACCAAGTCCAGTTGCCCTTCATTTTAACCTTCGTTGGATAACACACCACATGTTTTATCTGCTTATGCTGATGATGTCATGGTCCTGGTCAGAAATCAAGCTGAAATTAATATTGTTGGAAAAATTGTGTCTGAGTTTGGTCTTATCTCTGCAGCAAAAGTAAATTGGAGAAAAAGTGAAGCTCTAGCAGTTGGAAACTGGTTTGGTGGTCTTCCAGTGTTGCCGGGGGGGTTAGGATGGAGAAATTATGGTATAAAGTAGCTAGGTATTTATCTTGGCAAAGAAGAAATTGTTAAAAGAAACTGGGAGGGCATGATAGAGACGATGAAAGGAAGGCTGCTTGCTCAGATGTCTTTTAGAGGAAGAAGTTTGTATGGAGCCACCTGCTGGTTTTCTCGCAAAACTACAAGCAGTTTAAGTGGACTTTTTTGGGACAGGTTACGCTGGGTACCCTAGAGTGTGCTTTTTTTTACCAAAGGAAGAAGTGGGGCAAGGCCTGGTACATCTAGCAAGAGTGGCAACTTTTCGATTTCAATTTGCACAGAGATATCTGACAGCAGCATTTTAAGGAGAACAGACAGGTTAGGACTTGACACTGCTTTGTTTTTAATGGATGATGGTTATTTAAATCTGTCTGTATTGTCTGATTTTTATAAGGTTATTTTTAAGGCCTGGCACCTTTTTAAGAAGAGACGGTTGGAACCGTCAGTCTCCCTGTACTGGTTACTGTACGAGCCTCTGATCGGTGGATCCACAATGGACCTACAGGACAGTGGTACACCAGGCCTTCATCATATACTCTGTTCTGCTGGTGCTACAACTCTCAGACGGATAGTGGATGTAGCTGGACCTGTTTTTATGAACACTGGGGCTGTGGCTGCACTGATTGGACTAAAATCTGTGCGTCACGTGAGGGACATTGTGAATGGTTGGACTAGAAAAACTAACAGCAGCGGATAACGAGCTGTTGAGGATGTACTGAAAAGGTGAGGAAGCTCTGGACGAAGAGGACCCTTTTCCGGAGTTGGGACTGGTACCCAGTCTTGACTGTTGTTCTAGTTTATTGCTGGATGTCAGGCATCAGAAAAACTCAGATCTGCCCACGGTGACAGGTAAAATGATTTACAGGTGTTGTGTGAAGGTGTTGTGTAAAAACAAGTTAAATGGTAGAAGTGACACGGTGTGGAGGGAGAAACTAGGGGTTAGTAATGCTGTGAAGCCTTACTGAAGGTGACTTATAGTGGAGAATATTACATGGGGCTGTTGCGGTGAACTCTTTTGACTCTGTGATTAATCCCTCTGTTTCTAATGGCTGTCCTTTCTGCGGGCTGCTGGAAACTGTTGTTCATTGTTTTTTAGACTGCAGCAGACTGGGGGAACTGTTTAATGTGTTGGGGTACTTGTTTATTTCTTTTAATGAAGTGTTGTCTAACACTGCTTTTGTTTTTGTAGCAGATTACAGGAAGACAGAAATGTCCATATACATGAGTAGAAAGAAGCAGGTAGAAGGACAGCTGTGTGGAGACATAGTCCCTGTGTTCACATCTCTGGTCAAGGCCAGAGTGTTAGTGGAGTTTAAGTTCCATCAGCTGATGAACACCTTGGATGTGTTTGTACTTCAGTGGTGTTATGATGATGTCATCTGTTCTGTGGTGGATGAAGAAGTCAGTTTTAATGACTGAGGGAGTTCAGTGTTTTCAGGTAATTTGATGTTTTTATTTGTGTGGAAGTGTTTTCTTATCTCTAGATGTCAACCGTTTGATTCTCTGACGTATTGAATGTTCTTATGTCTGTGGATCAGTAACGTTTTTATTAAAGTGTTTAATTAAAGTAAAAAAAGTCTCTCTTTTCCTCCTCCCCCCCCCTCAATTGGCATGAATGTGTAACAACAATATTGCCAAAGCATCATACATATTACATAAGAACAATCAACCCCATACATTTCATTAAACAAGTAATTAAAGCGTAAAGTAATCAAAGCGTATGTGTTTTGTGTTAAAAAATATTTTAAAATATTAAAAATTTTAATAAAATAAATAGAACAGTAAGCGTGTCTGTGTGTGTGTGTTAAAAAATAAATAAATAAATAAATAAAACAGTAAGCGTGTGTGTGTTAAAAAATAAAAACATATTAAAAAATTTAATAAAACAAATAACTGAAACAGTAACGTGTGTGTGTATTAATAGACAAAAAAAAGAATTAATTGATTAAAAATAATAATAATAAAAAAAAGAAAAAGAAATCACATCACAATTACTAAAATGTCAATGCAATGGAGCCGTTTTATTGTTTTAAATGTTATTCTAATGCTTTTCTTTGCCTCTGTAAATCACTTTGAATTGCATTTGTGTTTGAAAGGTGCTACATAATTAAAGCTGCCGTGCCTACAGATCATAGCTTCAATAAATATTACAAATTATAAACCAAACAAACTGCAAAACAACCACAGGCAATGATTGGATACCTGATTTTTTAAAAGAAAGCCAATATTAGCTGCATACATCAGCACAGACATAGAGTATACTAGTTGGATACTAAAACACACACACACACACACACACACACACACTCACCCATTCCTTTGGTGTGGTTGAAGTCTCCTCTCACTATCTTACAGGAGCGCCCGTCTCCATTACATACACCGCAACGGTCCTCTTTGGCTGAAGAGCCGATGATGCTGTCACAGCCAATTTTCTGACCATAACAAAACAGTGAAGAACAACAGTAAAATTTAAGGTTGATGAGTTGCCTTTGTAATGTGTGTGCGTGTCTGACACCTTGTGTGTGTATACGGGTACAATTTATTTAGAAAAGAAAAGCTGTTTTGCGTAAGGTCAAAATTTGACTTGTCCTGGTGCCAAATGTAGTTCAGTCACAGATCAGAAGTCTGTTAAAAGTTAAAGCCTATTTCAGTATCGCACAATCATCACCACTCTCTATCAGTGTCAGTGTACCTCTCTACCTGCCTTTTTAATATGGCAGTGTTTATATAGATGTCGCAGCTGATTGGGTAACAACTCTGACACATCCACCACGTCCACATTCATCTATTATATAGATCAGCGATTCCCAAAGTGTGATGCCTGCACCCCTGGGGGTGAATGAGCTGCCTCTAGGTCATGCACAACAGGAAAAATGTAATCATGGTGTAGTAGTGTAATAACTACACCACTTATTTTTTGGTGGAATTTTTGATGAAATAAAAACCTGAATTGAAAACTTTTCTTTTTAAATTTAATTTAAAATTAAAAACGTTATTATTAATAGTTAGCTCACAGGAAAGGGCTACTCACACACCTCTTTCCCTCTCCCTCACTCCCCCCTCCCCCTCTCTCTCTGGCTGAGCCACCCGTGCTGTACAAATCCTCCTTTTTGTCCATGTTATCTGTTTGTGAGACTACACAGGGTGCGATTTGTCAAAAAAAATAAAAAAACAGAAGGGGGGTGTTTTGTAACACTTTTTTTGGGGGCCATGAAAATAACGCCCACCACCACCGCGTGGTTTGGCACACAGGTGAAATGTGGATTGATTCCAAAGTTTAACCATCACAGTATGAGAAAAGGTTTTATTGCCACTGTTACTTTTTTAAGTAATAAATATATAATGTTACATCGCGATGAAGAGTTGCACTGAAAAGACAGAGAACGCAGACAGATGCATGCTGTGTTTAAGCACAGTGAGTGGGTAAGGGGAGAGAGACCGATTTAAAAGCTGTCACTTTCAAGAGTGTCACTGAGGTCATGTTCACTGGTGTAACAGAGACACTGCACGGCTGCTTGTCATAGAAACAGATCATCACATGTTTATTTCACCTTCAGAAATATCGACTGTCTTCTCTTCAACACACTCACCGGAGCAGAGTGTTGATAGGCTATTATTCGCGACGTGTAACCAATCAGATATTGCTGTGGGCGGGACATTGATATTCTATAAAAGCAAAATATAGAACAGTGGTCGGCAATAGGCAGCCCACAGGCCAGAACCAGCCCGTCAGCAATAATATCTGGCCCGCAGCCAGATTGCTTTGATAGCAGAAAAAAATAAAATAAAATAAATTGATAGTGGCTGGTGCTGAGATACAGTTACAGTTACTCACACAATCACTTCCTCTTAAGTGATTGTGCCTCCAAAATAAAAGCGTGAGAAGTTTTTGTGCAGCAATGCTTTATTCTCAAGTTTATTGAGAGCTTTTACTTTGAAGAATTCTGAAGGACATTCAAAAGAGACTCTGGACATTCAAAAGAGACTCTGGCTTTCTTGAGACACCTCTGAAAAAGCTGTCAGTAAACGTGTGATTGGATTCCCCTGAATTTCCTCAGGGAAATGAAAATGAGCAACCTTCCAAACGGGAGTCCCGCAACTGACCTAACCATGCACACAAGTATACAAAGATTTGAAATAATTTGACTTCGTTCTGGCCCGCCATGTAAAGACCGCTGATATAGATCAAAATATTGTCTGCAATTCTATTCCCTACATGAATTTGAAAACGTGGGTGTAGACTCCTGTTCTTACATAATTTTGATATTTTGAGACATCAGTAAATATGTGGCTAATTTCAAAAATCATTTCCTATACTGGTTTGCACATTGTCCTATTGTGTTTTCCACCCAGTCTTTCTTTAGCTCTATGATGCTAAAATTAACTTTAGCCTTAGGAAATAGCAATTGGGGAACATTACTTATGGGAGAAAGGCGGTTAAAACTCGTTTCCTTAACTTGATATTCTTCTGATTTATCTTTTATTTTTCATCCATAACTATGGTGTTTATTTTTAGTCATAAGTTGTGAGCGTGTAAAACATGGTCACGAGCAAATTATGTTATTCCACACGCGCAAAAATTAACCTTCCCGTGCGCGTGATACAGTACTCACGCACAAATTCAACAACCGAGAGTTGTACAGGTAGCTGCGAGCGAGCGCCTGGCATGCTCTCAAAGGATAACTCTGCTTGCACAGTGGAATTCAGCTCGCGCGCAGTGTGCTTCTGCTCGCGGAGTGGTGTTTAGCTCGCGGAGTGTATTTCTGCTCGCTCGAGTCTACATTAGTGTTGTGTTGTTCAAAGAACGTTTCGTTCATAAGACCTAATTTTGTATATGACTCGGGGGGAACGGGTTGTCTCAGTGAGTGATTCGTTCATTTTCACGCATGCGTGAAGGATCTTGGACTCTTACGTTCACTCGGCACACGGCAGCTGCATGGGCTCCGTCAGCACAGGAAAAAGAATCGTTTAGCTCACGACTCTCAACTGTGGGTCTCTAGGTCTGAGTCGTTCATTTGTCACGTGGCAGTCACTGGATTGATATTATATAGCTATTTTGTTAATTATGTAACATTTTCTAAAGCATAACGTTGTTACAGCACAGTGATGTTGTTTTAACACAGCCACACCGTAACTGTAGTCCTGCTGGTGTTTACAGCTAACAGCTGATGAGAGTTGTTCTGGGTCCACTTCAGAGCCCTGACAAGGTTCTACCTGGAGCCGAATTACCGCAGAGGTTGTCTCCTCTCCAAAGCAAACAGACCCGGTCATTAAAACATTAAAACACAGCCACGTAGCAACGTTAGTGTTAGCTCTGTAAACAGCTAACAGCTGATCCAAGTCCGCCAGAGAACGCAACGTAACTTTTCCTTTTTATCTACCAACAGAGCCGTGCTGTTGTTTCACAGCTCGTGACTGGTGAACAACCTGCAGTGTTTGAGAGCGATGTGTTCATGTGTGTTTCTCTCTCTGCAGAATGCGGACCTGATGTGGCCCATTCTGCGTCCAGACCTGCCAAACTTCTGCGTTTATATGTGTTTATTTCTCTGTTCCTCTCTCTGTGCTGGAATTCTTGGTGGCTTGATCCAGATTATTATTAAATTGGTTGAATTTTAATAAGAGTGTGTTTATTCATATAGTGTATCAAGCTTATTACTTCAATATATTTACTGCAAATCTGATATTAATATTTTACTCATGGATAGGGACGTTAGGCTACTGTATGAATGAGCACTTTAGAGATAATGATAATATAATTATATACATAAGCCTTTATATGGCTGGTCTGGTTGTATACTCGGGAAAGATTGTGAAAATGGAAGGATTTAGCCGGAGTAGTGGTGATTATATATTGACAACATATTTCTGTGGTTTTTACATGGTTTGAATTTGGTTGTGGGCCCAGGGGGGGTTATATAATGATGATATACAGTAATCAAGAGGTGAATTTGTGCATTATACTTTGTCAAATAAAGCAAGCCAGGCAGCCTTCCGTGTTTGAGAACGGCGCTGTTTTTTAATCGGCCACTAGAGGGCTGCAGTGCCACAATAGCCAGCCTAGTGCAAATGAACGAAATGACTCAAAAAAAGATTAGTTCATTTTAATGAACGAGTCTGTCAAAAGACTCGAACTTGCCATCACTAGTCTACATGACTTTTGACAATTTGGGGGCGGGAACAAAGGAGGATACCGACCCTCATGATCGGTCAATTTCAACATGATCACAACCAGAGCCCTTAAATAAGAGAGTTACGACACTCCCATTGACTTCTGTCGGAACTGTGGAATGCAGAAGTGACATGGTGTCACGGGGTAGCCGATAGTTCCAAACACTGAATAGTTCTGAAAACATCATGATTTATCATTGTCAGGTGTCTTTGGAAAAACCGCAAGCAAGATATAGGTATTGTTATATAATTAAGTTTCTTAAAGAAGCTGATTTAGATAAAATATTTTTCTGTTTTGTTTGTTTATTTTACTGCTTAATCTCTTGTTCCACACTCCAGTCCAGTTGGTGGCGGTTAATGCACCATTAAACTGGTTTGCCCACCGCCAATAAACACAAAAGAAGAAGTTTCAGCGCTGTATCCCATTCATTTATGTTGTGTCCGATGAACCTACGCTCGTTGATGAAATGACTGACATTTTAACCCATCAACTGACCTCTTGTGAATTTTCATCAGATTCTAAGTGCAGCTAGCTAACCTGAGCAACACTTCACTGGCTAAGTTACCATAAATTTAACGTTACTCCCTGTCAGTTTGCCGACATTTACTTTAAATGTCAAGTATGTATCAGTGTACGTTGATTCGTTGGCATTCAAAGTTTATCTTCGGGTATAAGAATTATAGTAGAAGTTAGCAGCACTTAGTGGCTGCCATAGTAGTAACGTAACGTTACTATAAACGGTAACGTTAGCTATGTGAAATAGATAACATGGCAAGCTTGTATCTAGCAAGGTTGTTCCTTGGTTAACGTTAATTCGGTCATTAACGTTGGACAGTGCATCGGCTGATAAGATCAGCAGCACAAAAAGTAAGTAACGTTATAACTGCAACAGATAACAACTTCATATGTTTTTCTGTTGAAGAGGCTGACATATGAAACCATCGAAGACTGACTTTAATGAGCGAGCAAGCCAGTTATCCACAAAGGATCCAAATAACAGCTCTCCGTGTTGCATCAGTGCCTCTGAACAGCTAAAACTGAATATTTTAACCTTCATGAAGGTAGGATTATTGTAGGACTGAATTAGTTTTAGCTTGGTGTACCTAATAAACTGGCAGCTGGATCTGCTTATAGGCCTCATAGAAACGTGCCAAACTTGTATATTTAAGAGTAAGTTAGTGGAGTGCAAATACCATATCCAGCAAACAATAACCAGGACAAACTTTCTTCCACATTGATGCAAATATGAATACATGTGATGCTCTTACAGTGACATTAGACATACAAATAATCTGAGCTACAGAGGCATTTACACATCCTTTCAGCTGCTGGTCTTACTGTGTTGAATGCTCTTAGTGGCCTTATTAGGTGCACCTTTACAATGTAATGCAGTTCAATACAACAGCTGTGCCATTATTTAATTAAATTTACACATATGAGCATAAATGTGTAAATTTTATTAAATGTTTAATACTGAGGTTAAAATTAAAGGGTGTTCTACTGTACTACATTGTGTTGGATATGAGGATTTTTTTGTCCTCCCTATTTACATAATGTACATTACAGGGCCAGAATATCAGAAACTCCTATAAATGCAGCTCAGTACAACACCAACATCACCAAGTCTGACCTCAGTGATAAAACGTGTAAGTGAATTAACACTTCTATGTATGTCTGTGTAAATAAATCCTGAACAGTACAGGCATCATAAAAGCAGAATTCATGGCTGAGCTGGTGTATGTATTACATTAGATTGTATAGGTGTATCTAATAATGTGACCACTGCAGACACAAGTCAAGCTTTTCCCTGTTGCTCTTCTGGGATGTGTGGTTGAGTGTGGTCCCCCCATAGACTGTATGGGTCACCTAAACCACTGGGCTAGCATGCCACCTAAACTACAACAAATCTCAACAGTGATGACCAACAACCAACCCTCTTCTGGTATTTAATATTTGGTCACTAAATTCAAAGAATTTGCAACAAAGTTGTAGTACTAAATATGACCATTTTATTAAGGTGTACAGGAACTTACAACTTTTAGTCCACTGAAATACCATGAAAAAAAGTTTATAGTCACGTAATATCAAATTCTTTACTGGGGCACAGAAGCAAATTACCGAAATCATGCCAATGTCCAGATACAACTGGACCTAACTGTGTACTCTCACTCCTGTAAGCTCAACCTCATGAAATTATTTGGGAAACATTGGCTTAACGTATTAACAATGTTTCATCTCTCTTGTCCCTGTTCTTTCCAGCAGCACCAGGCTCGTGTCTCCTCAAGAGCTGGTCTCATCTGGGGCCTATGACCTCGTCTGCTTCTGATAGTGAACTGTCCTCAACAAAAACAACCTCACTTACCCTCTCCCTGTAGATAATATATAATAAAGTGTTCTGTTGAATGCAATTGGTTGCCTTATATATTTTGCACTATTGATCAAACTTCTCTCTTGACTTAATATATATTCTGCATATGCAGTACATTCTATGTATGTATTTGTGTGTTCCGAGGTATAGTTTAGCCTGTGTTTAGGGAAGGAGAAAGGGGTAACGTTACACTAGTCATTTTAAAATAAATTACCAAGCAGTAATTATATGCATTGTATTTAGGACTGTTAATGCTGTCTCTCCATCCTTTCAAAGAAAAAAATCACTACTGTAAGTACAGTTAACGTAGTAATCAATGCACATTATACGAAAAGTGCTGCAAATATAGTGTTGTAAAGGCACACCTCTTTCCTCCAAAATTAACCCCAAAAGTATAATGCTTTCCCGACTCCCCAGAAGAAATGGTATCATACTGTATGTAAGTATAAGGATAGTGTAGTGGGACAACGGTGTGGATTTGTGCATTTTATATTAAATAAATTTGGAGCTACCCCAAATTCCTCTTTTCCCCTCCCAGAGAGGAGCAGGGGGGTTAAAGATCAACTTCAACAGACTGCTAAAGAGACCCCAACAGAAAGGGGGTGGAAAAGTTGCTTTCTCTAAGTGCTATCCCTGAGCAGCCTGATCATAAAACTGGCACCTTTTTGATTCCGAAGCTGATAACGTGGTGACTGACAAAAGGGACATTAACCAGCGATTAGCATTTCCCTGAACAGCCTATCGGAAAGGCAGGAAATCCTAAACTGCCCCCCCGCATACACACATAACCGTAGCAATTATCCTTGCTCTGTGTTTCATTACCCCATCAAAGGGATATCCCCTTTTACGCCTAAGTGTGACATAATCCAGGACAGCTGAACTTTAAATAAACAAAGACTGCAAAAACCCCATTGCATTAACTGCTATCTGTGTTGATATTAGTGCTGAAAAGAATCTAAATAAGTTACTTTTGCAGTGTTTTTTTTTCAGCAAGATTAAGGACACTCCTTCATCTTATGTGTAACCAAAGCTGGTTCACAATACTTTCTCACACAATTCCTTTAGAAATGATGATAAAGAAATGTCCAACTATACTCTATTAATTATCCAGCTTGAATTTAAGGCTGAATTCCCCAGTTCCTAAGGAAATATTGTTTTGGGTTAATCTAAGCTTTCCTCATGTAACCTGAGCTCCCCCAAGTGGACAAAATAAGTATTACATACCATCGTCAAAAATGCCGTTAATGTATAAATGTCATGCCCAATAATGTGACAATTGTTTCCTGTTACCAAATGCTTAACTTAGAACGGTACAACCGTTTGACCATTGAGGTTTGATTGTGGAAAATATTTGATTTTAATGCGTGCAAATACATTTCTTTTCTGCCCCAGACCACAAAAGAGCGACACACGACGTCGTTCGCTCTTCTTGGCTCCTCTCCTCTCCTCCTGCCCTGGTCTTCTGCTCTGCTCTCTGTACGCTTCGGCACGCGTCCGGCGTGCCTCGCCAGGCAACGCCCTAAGAGTTCGACCAGCGCAACAGGCCTTTGTTCGCTTGAAGCTACACACGCGAAGTTCCGCGACATCGATCTGCCCCTCATTTTGTTTTATTTTCTTTCTTTCTTTTGTTTTGTTAAAGTTTTCAGTCCGTTAAGTTACATTGGACTAATTTAGGAATGACCAAGTTCCCTTTTAAGCTTGTTCGTCGAGCCAACTTCACCGAGGTCAGACCAAGCCACGTGGTCTCGCCAGCGGCAACGAAGGAAACCTGAAAACAGCTGAATTGCCAGACACGGAGAACCCCGGAGAATCCCTAGCAAAAGCTGGCGTGGGACCCGTGCAACAGGCCAAAGCAGGCCGTCGACAAGCTGTAAGACCTAACAAACATTCTGTGGTCAGGGATGTTTTCTTTTAACTCCTAAACTCATAGCTTACTTTCATTAGTTCTCCTCTGCCGTATGAGTCAAATGCTTCCCACAATCGAACCTCCATTTCTCATTGTTCAGCCATTGTTTATTTTCCCTGTATTTAACCACCCTTTTATATCGCATTAGTTAGAGAATAAATTCACTGTAATATAATCAAGAACTGTGTGTTGTTGACTATCTCTACGTCCCTGCCAAGAGAATTGACCCTTTAGATATGAGACTTACTGACTTAAGATAATTTAGCGATTATTAACTAACTGATTACTAGTAATAATTGTATAGTTATTAAAAGCTACCTAGAGGTCCGGAGACTCTAGGATAATAACAACTCCGGTAGTGCCCTTTTTAACGAGAGCTTTTATGGAGTTTTGCTATTTTCTGAATATTAAAATTCATAACTGGGTATTAATTTCTTTAAAATTCATAGCTAAGTTTTAGCCATGCTACAATAGTAATCAAATCAAATTATGCCTTAATATTTATCCGAAAACTGCTGCAAATATAGTCGCTGCTGGTGACTGTCCCACCTGAAACCGTTCAAAGTGGTTGACAGCGCGGATTGGTTGGAACTACTGAGAGCTGAGATCAAAGAGTGTTTTAACTCTCTTATTTAAGGGCTCTGGTTGTGATCACGTTGAAAGTGACCAATCAGAGGGTGAGTGTCCTCCTTGGTTTCCGCCCCCAAACAGTCAAAAATCATGTAGACTCGAGCGAGCAGAAATACACTGCGCGAGCTAAACGCCACTCCGCAAGCAGAAGCACACTGCGCGCGAGCAGGATTCCACTGTGCAAGCAGAGTTATCCTTTGAGAGCAAACCAGGCTGCATCGTGCGCGTGGGAAGGTAAATTTTTGCACGTGTGGAATAACATAATTTGCTCGTGAGCATGTTTGACACGCTCACAACTTATGACTAAAAATAAACACCATACCTATCTATCTATCCTTTTTGAAATTCCAACAGTACAATACTTCCTGATTATGTACAATACAGTAGAGTGTTAGTAGCTGCTTCTAGCCTGTCAATCATCTTAAGGACCATTTAGAATCACATGAGAGTGGCGTGCTGAAATGCTTACACTGGATCAGCTGTTTTAAGACAGAGAGGTACCTATGGTTGCCCTGAACAATGCACATGATCTCATCGCTTATCAGCTCAGTTCTTTAATGGACGATGGTGGTTGAGTGGGTCTAAGAACAAGGCTGAGGAAGTAGGCAAGTTGTATTTAGTGTGTACCATTCCGTACTTGTATAGCGCCTTTCTAGTCTTTTCGACCACTCAAAGCGCTTTTACACTACATCTGCATTCACCAGTCATACACATTCACACACTAAGTGCTCAAACAGAAACTAACATTCACACAATACAATACAATCAAATCGGGGTTCAGTATCTTGCCCAAGGACACTTCGACACGCAACCAGGGGGAGCCAGGGATTAAACCGCCGACCTTCCGATTAACGGCCAACCCGCTCTACCACCTGAGACACAGCCGCCCTAAACCATGCCGTGATTCTGAAGGAGTATGCACATGTGTGTGAGTATGTGTGTGTACCTGACACCTCCCGTTAACGCACAGGTCAGCCTCATATGGTCCACAGGGCGTCCCATCCATTACTCTGTCAGCCATCAGAACTGGGACATCTCGACCCACCGGACTGCAGAACAAAACACATGGCTTCGCTGCTCAGACAACACACACACACACACACACACACACACACACACACACACGGACATGAAATAAAGTTGTTAGTTTAACGATTAGTACAATAGTAGGGTACAAATACAAACAAGGTATGCTTCCATTCAATGTTATTTTTGGAAATACTACAACTACACCAATCAATAAAAACAGACAGAGTAAATTCAAGCAGAGTTAGAAAACATAAAATGCAGTAAAGACTGTAGCATTGGACCACAAGGTGCTCTTAACTGGGACTCCCTAGAGCAGTGGTTGACAATAGGTGGCCTGCGGCCAAAGCTGGACTGCCAGCAATAATAGCTGGTGTTTCAGCTCCAGCTGCTATAATTATTATTTTTTTGTCAGAAAATGTGAGATCGCAGGTTCCCCTGAATGGAAAAAGCAGGAATTTCCTCTGCCTGGATATAGTGGAGACACAAAAGTAAGCGTCCAAAGGTTGATGTGGACCAATTGCCGGGATGTACACACTCCTGCACATGCTTAATTGTGATATGTAATACAATCGCTTCACCATCTTGTTGAAAAAAGAAGAAAAAATACTTACAGCGAGTGAGAATTGAGCACACAACCCTTCAGACCTGTGAGTCCTGTGCACTACCAACTGAGCTAATTGCACACACAGTAACTGTTCCATCTAACGACTTGAAAATAATTTGGCCGATGCCAGACTTATTTGCACCTCTGGTATCTCACTGCAAACACACCAGCTTGCCCCGCCTCTCTCTCTAGCCAAAAGACACAGACATTGTCTTTTTTCCGGCGTTTTCCACCCACAAATCCGCAACTAGCAACATTATAGGCACCCAAGTTTTTTACAAAGTCTATGCGAGTGAACACATGCCTTTAGAAAATACTGTATAAACATAACATATATAAGACGATCGCCTCAAACACAATCAAAAAACTTAAAGTTCCCGCTTCATGTGTGATCATGCTTGTACACACTGAACATACGGTGCAGATCTGACACACACACACACACACACACACGCTCTTGTTATCACACACATCTCTTTATTTTTTAGTGTATTTTAGTTTCATGGTTTCTGGTATGTTTTGCTTTTGTTTTTCTGTTAAATAAATGCTTGTGGATATACATGCTGTGTATCAATTTTCTCTTCTTTAAGAGTGGTGCTGCCAGGTGACTTTAGTTAAATTCTATCATTAACTATTAAACAGTAGGGGAGACCGGGTATGGTTGTAACACTTTTTGCTTCAGCAACTATAACTCCCTGAATTTATTTGCTAGAGTTCTCAAACTTTTATACAAAGTACCCACATTTGTTCACTACAAATGGCACGAATTCAATCCTTTACAAGAATATCACAGACCTCGTGAGTTGATGTCAAATGCATTGTATTACTTAACAGTATACTTAATAAATACTACTAAAATGTACTTAATTAAGAACATCTCTGTACATCATCAGGTCTAACTAAAAAGAGGTGTGTCTGTCTGTGTCAACGTGTGTATATTCTTAATCAGAGTCACAGTCAGTACTCACCGGTACGCAGTACCAGCACTTCTATATTTTACTCCTTGGGAACTTGTTCTTGTGCACTGGGATTTCTCACAAGCTGCCCGTACTCTTTGGAGTATGGAAAAGACTGAGTGGCGATACACTAGCCAACATGTGAACTACTGCTGAAATTTTGAACTCTTGTCTCATACGTGAGGACGTACTGTGGTTGCTGACGTACTGCAGTAAGCCTGTCGACTCATTTCCGTTTCCAGTGCTTGTACTTTAGCTTAGCCGTTAGCAACTTTAGCTTAGCAGCTAGCGATGGCTTCTCCTTCTCCCTCTCGCTCTCCTACTTTCTCCTGCTCGGTGTGTCAGATGTTCAGTTACTCCTCTGCCTCCTTTAGCATTAATGGTACGTGTAATAAGTGTAGTTTATTTATAGACATGGAGGCGAGGCTCAGTGATTTAGAAGTCCTGCTCCGCACCTTGGTAGATCAGTCTTTAGCTACTGTAGCTAGCCAGTCCCCGGTAGTCGGTGCGGAACGGCCTGAGTTAGCCTCTGGTAGCCGTCCTCCGGCATGCCCTGTGCAGCCAGGAAGGGGGGGCTGGGTGACTGTCCGAAGGAGGAATAGTTGTAAGCATTCAAAGTGCACAGGGCACCATCAACCTGTTCACGTTTCTAACAGATTTTCCCCACTCAGCGACACAACCACAGAGAAACCAACTCTGATCATTGGCAGCTCCATTTTGAGAAACGTGAAGTTAGCGAAGACAGCAGCCATAGTTAAGTGCATCCCTGGGGCCACAGCGGGCGACATTGAGTATTATTTGAAACTGCTGGCTAAGGATAAACGTAAATACAGTAAGATTGTTATTCACGCCGGCGGTAATGACTCCCGGTTACGCCAATCGGAGGTCACTAAGATTAATGTTGAGTCGGTGTATACATATGCAAAAACAATGTCGGACACCGTAGTTTTCTCTGGACCCCTGCCAAATCTGACCAGTGATGACATGTATAGCCGCATGTCGTCATTCCGCCGCTGGTTGTCGAGGTGGTGTCCAGCAAACGATGTGGGCTTTGTAGATCATTGGCAGACTTTCTGGGGAAGACCTGGTCTGATCCGGAGAGACGGCATCCATCCCACTTGGGAAGGAGCAGCTCTCATTTCTAGAAATCTGGCCAAGTTTATTAGTGGACCAAATCCATGACAACCCAGAGTTGAGACCAGGAGGCAGAGTCGCAGTCTAACACACTTCTCTGCCCTTCTAATTCAGCAGTTACCCACCCTAAACCCTACGCAGAGTCGCAGTCTAACACACTTCTCTGCTCCTCCATTTCAGGAGTTACTTAGTGAAAATCCTATAGTGACGGTGTCTGTCCTCCGACCATCGAAATTAGCTGCAGAAAGCTTGAACGTCAGTGGCGCCATACTAAGCTTGAAGTTTATTATCGGCATGGCATGACAGTCTGACCACTTTTTATTCTAATGTGATTATGAATAATAAGTATAACCCTAGACTTTTATTTGAAACTGTTGATAGACTTACAGTGTCAGCAGCCAGTAAGTAGTACAGATTTGTCAGCACATGATTTTATGATGTATTTTTTATGAGAGAGTTGAGGACATACGAACTACGATACCCCAGTCAGATGTTGGGGGATTAAACTGCGCTATCATCGGACCATTTTCTACAGAACAGAGCCACTCTGAGTTTGAGGCAATTTCTTTGGCTGAGTTAACTAAATTTGTAGTGACTGCAAGAGGTACCACTTCTCTGGATCCCTTGCCTGCCTGGGTTGTTAAAGAACTATGGCCAACATTAGGATTGTATATTTTAGCTGTTTTTCCAGCTTGCTTCAAATCTCCAGTGGTTAAACCATCACTGACGAAACCAAATCTGGATACAGACCTGTTGGAAAATTATAGGCCTGTCTATAATTTGGCCTTCTTACCTAAAGTCTTTGAGAAAGTGATCTCAAATTGGCTTTTAAAATATCTGTCTTCTAATAATCTTTTTGAGGCGCTGTAGTCGGCTTTTTCGAGCAAAACATTCTACTGAAATAGCACTCACAAAAGGTGGTAAATGATCTGTTACTGGCTGCTGACTCAGACTTAACATCTATCCTTTTGTTGTTGGATCTTAGCGCGGCTTTTTATATCCTGTGGACCACTGTAAACTTTTGGACAGAATCGAGAAATACTTCGGCATCTCTAGCCAGGTGCCAAGTGGTTGAAGATCTTACAATTCAGAAAGATCTCAATATGTGTTTTAAAATCACACATTTTTCGACCCTTCCCCACTTCAGCACGGGGTACCACAGGGTTCAGTCCTTGGCCCACCGTTATTTTCATTATACTTAGCGTAATTGTGTCAGCTCATTGGTTCTTTTGGGTTAGCTTTTCATTGCCATGCTGATAATTTACAAATATATATTATTAGTATCATAATGTGCGTCTGTGTTGCAAGGACTTTGCTAAATGTGGTTGATGGATTTTATCGTTTGGGTTTGAGAATGTGCAGCGCTTTAAATGTTGCCGCCGCAAGGAATTGTGGGATGGCATTCTCTCCTTTCTTTTATACAGGATGGTCCAGTGTACCCTATGCTAAAGGAGATATAAAAGGAAGCACTGAGGCACCTTTCCTTAGCTTTTAGAGAATTCGAACAGCTCTTATCATGGCTGCCACTGAAATACTTGCGGTTCACTTCACTCAGTTAGGAACCTTTCTAAGCAAACAAAACTTTTCAAACGCAGCCCAGGTTTATTTTTGACGCAAGCCGCGTCAAGCAGCACAGAGCAGATCGCACCAGGCAGGAAGTCATTCACGGAACGTCCGATCATTTTTCATTTTATAGTAGAAGCACAAAGCAAACACTGATTACGAAATCAACAAATCTGAACATGTCAGCAAAATCAGGCAGGCAAAATGCTCTGATTCTGTGTAGAGCTTTCCAGCAGGTATAACTAGTGATTTACATATACATATATATATACACACATATAAACATATATCACAAGTGATGGATGGTATGATTATGTTCTGGAGTATTCGAGAAATAAGTGTGTACATTTGCCGACTTATTCCAAATGAAGGCATATATATGTTATCTTCTTACTAGGTTAAAGGTTTGTTTATTATTCCTAGTCTCCAGACTATCTTTTCTGTGTATGCTTAATTAGGTACAGTGCGCAGGCGTTTCACCTTTATGTTTCATTTTCGTTTAGTTGATGTTCAGGACTGGGACGCCTTGCCAACAAACACACAAACAAAACTGACTAACTAACGTCACTAATATCCAACTAACAAGCTATCATAGCGGTAGCATTCCGGCTACCTAGTATGTGGATGAGTATTGCGTATGTGTGCGCAATAAAGCTCATAATGTGACTCGAGTTGTATCCGCCGTATTTGTCCTGAAACCCTTCCAGTGGGGAGTTTGAGCTATAGCAGGTAGCTCAGTAGAGAACTGGACAGTTGTAAACCGTCGTCGAAGCCGTGCCAGAGACTAC